AGTAACGCACACCTGTCAGCACACCTGTCAGCACGCATTCAGCCCTTACCAAAATGGCTTGAAGAGGAGTTTCAGCCCCTTCAGCCACACAAGAATCGTCCGCACCAGACTTTCAAGCAACCATGACTGCCTCGCTCCTCCTGCCTGCCCCTACTAAAACTGCCCCAGTAGCTGGGCACCCACTCACGCCGCTTGGGTCCACAATGGAGCGAGTATCAACACGACTGCCTCTATATCAATACGTTTGAGGCGTCTTACAAAGGTGAGTCCAGTGACAGCACCATTGCCTTGTTGGCAACTTCTTTGAGCCGACAAAAAACGCGTTCCATAACAAGGTGAGACGAGTGAGAGCAGCATTGCCCTCTAAGCAACAATGCGAGCTCCATAGAGCTCTGGTCCGCTCCCATGCGGCGTGCCCCCTGCACCTGGTGCTCTCACTGCCGCTTTCAGGCATCACTGAAATCTAATAGAATTCAGCCAGCAGTGCACCAAACGAATGCAAGCAAGGAGAAAAGCTGAACCGCAAGGGTGAGAAAGACAGACCCGGTTCGACTCAAGCCGAGTGACTTTCAGTCGGATCACAAAATATCCTGTGAAGGTGACTAAGACAGGTGCAGCTCAGGCCACGCCCAGGTGGAATGATGAGACACGCGCACACTCAGCACACACAGCACACTCAAATGAGGTGAGGCGTTTGCCGAGCCACGCACAGCTCCTGGGCTGGGAAGGTTCGGCTCGAGACGCGCTTTGGCTCGGCGAAAAAAAAACTGGCTCGGCTTGGCTTGGCTTCCCAGGGAGGTGGCTTGATCAAGAGCCGGCTGATATCTGAAGTTCTGACAGTATGACATAGCATGGATGGTTCAATTTAAAAACTGTGAGCTGGTGCACCGATCGTAAGTAGCAAGGGCCGGGCAACGGCTTGTCTTGCAGGAACCACGCTTACAGGTAGGAGAGGAGAGTGAGGTTAGCAATTGCTGATGGAATGGATCCTGAGAACAAATTCCATCGAAGGTCCCTGACATGTGACCCACACACAACGCACACACAGCACTGCGTGGGTTACGAAACAAATAGAAAAAAAACGGCGTAGGAAGGTCAGTTTGGATGGGGGGGGGGATTTTGAGCTGTTAGACTAGATAGATTTGAGTGAAAAGAATAGCCAGCCATGGTTCTTTCAGCCATGGTTCTTTCAGCCAATTGAGCCACGAAACACGGTGAGACGTGATTTTTCGAAGAGATGTACATCAAGCATTCTTGAGCAACTAGACAGCACATGAGAAACGGGATGACCCGTTGCTCCATCGACCTTTGGAACAGGGATTGGCTTGTTGTTATGTCAAGCTGAGAGCCAATGTTGGAGCTTGCAGGTGGACTCCGTTTTTTAGGCGCCTCAAAGCCATGAGATAATGAATGAGCCGGTGCTCGATCGACCCTTGGATCAGGGCTTGTTGTCATGTCATGTCATGTCATGTCATGTCATTTCAAGTCAAACTGAGAGCCAGTGTTGGAGCTTGCATGTGGACTCGGCTCAGGCACACAAGTTCCAACACATGGCAAATGTGTTGAGCAGTGACACTGCCAGTCATTTTCACCTAACCAGTAGCAACATGTTCTTTGCACTTCGCTGACTGGCCCGTCTCACCTTAGTAGCCCAGCCTGCGTGCCGGCAAAGTGCCACTGTGTCTACAGTTAAACAATTTCTCCTCCAGCAATCAAAGACGTGGACGTATTCAGCCTTTGTGTAAGATATTCAGCTTTTGCGGAAAAAAAAAAAAAAAACAAAAACAACAAACAAACAAACAGTTTTTGTAAGGTTCAAGGCCGGGCATGAGGCACAATAAGCTATAAAGGAAGGTCAAGCTTCTGAAGGAGGAAGGGTTGAACTCCTCATGGTGCTGCCTGGCTCTGAGGCTACCGTGACTTGGAGGTCCTTGAAGGTATCACACACAAACACAGATTTGCAAGATTGGCATCGGTGGAGTGAGGTGGAATACTCACAACAAGGCGAGCTTGGTGAGGTGGAATATTGCTAACGGGATTGAGCCCTTTAACTTGTTAGCTCCAAGATTCCTATTTTGGCGCAACGTGGGCCACACGAGAAGAAGTTGGTGCAGATGTGACATGACGGCATAAGAAAGAAGAAGCAGCAGAGAGAGACCAATGGAGTACAGGCTCTCACTTGTCACGAACCCACAAACACCTCTCTTTCGTGCTATCACTCGCTTCCGTCTCGTGCATGCCAGCATTGTGTATCGGAGACTGCTGCTAGGCGTGCCGTTTCTGAGAATTCTCAAAAAGGACATTCTAATTCGTACTTTGGCAAAACTCAGTGGTTATCACCGAGTTATGGGCAGCTCTGATGGGCATAGTTAGGTGTGGCTTATTATGCATATTATGCTACTCATTACGTTCATTTCAACTGCAGAGCGGGTCAGTGAGGGCCAGCGAGGGTCAGCGAGGGTCAATGAGGGTCAATGACGGTCAATGAGGGTCAATGAGGGTCAATGAGGGTCAATGGGGGTCAATGAGGGTCAATAAAAATCCACGAGAATCATGACGCAGGAAGAGGTGGTGGGTGGAGCCTGGGGAAGGGCACCCTTAAGCCAGGGCTCCCAAAAGTTACCACACACACAGAGAAAGAAGATTGGCAGTGGCAGAAAATTGTTCTCACAACAAGGTGAGATTGGAGAGAAGCATGATGGTCGAAGGGATCTCGCAGATTTTGTTATTGTCGAGCAACCTATTGAGGCACAACAGGGGGTGCATGGGGAGCAAGGCACAGCAAGCAACGGGCATATGAGTGGGGAGCGAGCAAGTGGCATGGCCACGAGGCTATACGGAGGAGCAGTGCACAAGCACCACAGCAACAAGGTGTGTCTCCTCCATTCCATGCCAAATACCTGCCGTTCTCCCATTCTTCTGTTCTGTGCACGGAGCATCTGGCACGGAGCATCTGGCACGGAGCATCTGGCACGGAGCATCTGGCACGGAGCATCTGGCACGGAGCATCTGGCATGTCGCCAACGAGGCCCTCAACATCGGACGGTGCCCAGCCAACCACCAAGTCTTCAGCTAACGTCAAGTCTTGCCTAACATGTTTGCTTGACGCTTTGATGGAATGGAACTAACGAGTCAAGGCAAAACGCTAAGGTCAAGATCCTTCACACCCGCTGTGTGAATTTGTTGACCCCGGTTTGATGCTCGGACGAGCAGGCAAAAAAAAAATTGCACAGGTAAGCAAACTTGGGGGCCAGGGGGGTGAGGAGTGGGGGAGGGGATGGTGTGAGAGAGTCTTGGGGATGGAGTCGACCCAAAACACACGTGTGGGAGTCGGGTTTTTTGGGGGTGAAAATATTCGAGTTGGTCATGGGCGCATTTTCAGTGCGGAAACACGGCCTGGTTTTTGTTTTCCCTGATTTTTTTTGTTCGGGCTGCCTCAAAGTTTATGGGGCACGTGGCTTATCGCATCCAGTATATATGTCATGGCATGGCATGGTTGCTGGTCGAGGTGTGTCATAGGAGATTACAGGCGTGAGAGGGCAGAAAGGTCAGAAATGGCTTCTGGGATGGAGCCTGACAAACTGTTGAAACTGAGAGTTCTGCCATGCGAGTCACATGGGGAGGGGGAAGACGGAGAAACATCATGGCATGCCATGTCATGTGATGTCATGCACGTCATTCATATCATGTATTGCCAAGCGGCCGCTTGTCAGCACAGCGGCCGGGGTCAGGGCTCTTGCGGTGAGCTGTTTGACTGTCAACCTGCAGCTGTGAACATGGCAAGCCAAGCTAAGTGCAAATGGTGGAACGCATGGGAGAAAGTGCAAATCCACCTTGGCTTGCCATGTATGCAACGTAGTGGTGATGGTTTTGAGGTGCCTTGGAAATTGTCTGTAGCACGGCCGATGTGCCACTCACAGCTCTTCTAAGCGGGTGAGGCGAGGCACGGTGGCTGGAAGGGAGCCTGTGAGCTTGTTGCTTGAGAGATGCCTGGATCGGGGCAAGTTGTGTTGTGTGTAGGGCGGGCAGGGAGGCAAATGAGTTCTGAACTTCTGAGATGCAGGGCCACAAACCCGGAAGGCACGCATGGCACTGGCATTGAGGTAGTAGGAGAAAGGAATCAGGAGAGGTTAGATATGGCATGCTGGAGATAGGGCAGCCATCGATGGAGATAGGGCAGCCATCGATGGAGATAGGGCAGCCATCGATGGAGATAGGGCAGCCATCGATGGAGATAGGGCAGCCATCGATGGAGATAGGGCAGCCATCGATGGAGATAGGGCAGCCATCGATGGAGATAGGGCAGCCATCGATGGAGATAGGGCAGGCATGGGTGGAGAGATAGCATAGTTGCATGGATCGACGCATCACTTTGCGCAGTAGCATGGCCTGGCATGGCCTCACATGGCATGGCCTCACATCACATGTCGTGGGCTTACATGGCATGGTCTCACATGGCATGGCCTCACATCACATGTCATGGGCTTACATGGCATGGCCTCACATCACATGTCATGGGCTTACATGGCATGGTCTCACATGGCATGGCCTCACATCACATGGCATGGGCTTGCATGGCATGGGCTCACATGGCATGGCATGGCCTCACATCACATGCCATGGGCTTGCATGGCATGGGCTCACATGGCGCGGCATGGCATGGCATGCAGCAGCGTACAGTTGAGTGAGTGCGGTGAGGTTCCCAATGGCATCTGGAATGGGTCCCTCCAACTGCTTGCCACTCACATTCCTGCAAGGGGACATGGGGATGGGGGGCATGGGGGGCATGGGGGGCATGGGGGACATGGGGGACATGGGGCGCACGGGGGACATAGGGGGCACGGGGGAAATGGAGGGCACGAAGGACATGGGGAACATGGGGGGCATGGTCCGGCAGGCATGGTCCAGAAAGTATGATGGAGCAGCAAGCATGGGGCATGGATACTCAGAATCACTTCCCTACATGCCCACACCAGACCATCCAGCTTCCACTCATGAATTCAGATTTCCGCCCAAAAAAGGGGGAAAGCAGATGGAGAGGGGACGGGGACAGAGGGGGCGGGGAGAGAGGGGGCGGGGAGAGAGGAGGTGGGGAATGAGGGGGCGGGGAGAGGGAGAGCGGGGAGGGGAAGAGGGCGGGGGAAGGCGTGCAGGGCGCACAGGAAGACGATAAACCCAGCTGCGTTGCAGCGCACGCCCTCCACCTGCGCGCAGTCCCCCCCCTTGCTCCATCCGCGCAGCTGCGCCTGCCACTGCCTCTGACACTCCGCCAGCACCGCCGCTGCGCGGAACAGGGGGAGGCCAAGGAGGGGTATTGAGAATGAGCAAAAGGATTGGGAGGAGCGGGATTGGGAGGCGAAAAGGAGGAGAAAGAAGGTGCGAGAGGCGGAAACATATGAGACGATGGATGAGACAAGCGGAGAGGGATGCACGGGGTTGTACATTTGAATGATGGGGGAGGGAAGGTGTGATCCGTGAGATCTTTGGAGGGCAGGTCAGCCGCTGACCCGGGCAGGAAAGGAAGCTCGAGAGATGCAGCGGCGCGACACGCGCATTGGGAAGGTTGAGAGGGTGAAGGGCTTCTGCGTGCGGTCGTAGCTTAAATCTCGAAAGTCGTAAACGGGTACTAGTGCGGTAACGATCATAAGGGATGGAGCAGCGACGGACCTTGCGAGGGGTCGAGTGTTACGACAGCCGACGACGGCGAGGTGAGGGAGAGTATGACTGATACGAGAAGAACAGCGAGGCGACGCGACCTTTCCATGGTGGATGCATCACAGCCCTTTCTTGAAATTCGTTTCCTTTTGTCTGGGGGTTGTTGAACTATACTTTCTTAGAAAGAACTGTAGCGCGCGATCTTTGTCCGCTGGTCATATTCTGCTGTTGCGCCTGGACTCAAACCCAAAATCAAGTCAAGCAATTCCGCAATAAAACAATCCGATATAAGTAAATGGCAAAATATGCGAATGGTAACAAACATGGGGCTCAAAAGCGAAAACTCTAACCCTTCATGTGTGGTTAGGTAAGTTGCTTCACTGATTTGGTCACTTGTAACGGAAAAAAATGAAGTTCCTTGTGTCGCATGTGTCTTCAACGTGTAAAACACCTTTCATGGGCACGACGGTTTTGTACATTACCGCTTACCGGTATTCGCCATCTCGCGCGCTACTTTTGTCAAACCACGCTATGTTGGATGAGGCCGAGTCGGTCTACGCCTCAGTGCTAGAATAAGAAGGGTTCTTGGACGGGATAGGTCTGCTAGAGCAGGCACACAAAGCGATGAGTTTAGTCGCCATGTAAAACCAATACCCTTCGAAGTGGCGAATCATATTATTATGTCGAAATTAACGCATGAGCGTATGAACAAACTAGTACATCAACTACAAGACAACTTGCTCAAAATCGCCACACTCACGGCGATGCGGATTCAGTGTGCATCAGTACTTGCACTAGCTCCAACGCTACGCAAGCAGCAACACCAACCAGGCCTTATCCTACCAATGTCAATTACCTTGATACACTGATTATGTGGGTGATTTTTTTTTGTCGCACCGATTTCTCTGGGTGAATTTTTTTTTTTTTAGAAAAAAAAAAATCCCTGATTCCAAAGGGTAATGTTTTAGGCCACAGAGATGAACGTATGTATTTTTTTCCAAAGCAAACCTTAAACAGCATACAAAAGACACTAGGGAGCATTGACTTTCACGATGCACTGGCATTTCTTTCAAAACAACCCAGCCATGGTTGATAATACAGACGACGACTGGGCAAAAGTCGACGATGACACGTCTTGTAGCCACCGTCCTAGAACTGAACTATACTTTTTGGGTGGCATTGTATTAAGTCCCTCGCCCCACCCACTGTCCAAACCATCTGCATCCAGTGAAGGATGGCGATTCCCCGTTCATAAAGCGGCGGCCCTTGCCTCTCTAGATAGTCTCCCAGCCACAGAGACCTGAGTCAGAAGTTCCTGAGTCGTTTCCCTCAATTGCAGTGAAGAAGCGCCGGTATAGCCAATCGGTTTTGCCATTCAGCACGCCTCCCGCGAAGCCATCCCCGCCGTCAACGCCTATTGAGATGCCTGCACCGTCACCACCGATGCCAAAATTGATGGGGCAAAGTTTTTGGAAGCGCATAAGAATTAGACTCCAAAATGGATGCATGAGTTCGACATGCTGATTCTGTATAAGTCTTCTGACGGATTGCCTTATTTGCGATGCAGTGTGTGTGCTCAGTGCATGGTCCAAATAATGCACACTACGGTCGCGATGGGAGGGACCTTCAGCTCGGGTCAACGCGGGCTCATCAAGTAAGTACTCGTCACGAGGACGCCATCACCAAATAGAAGAACCTACTTGCGAAAAAAACTAGGGGGGACAAGTATGACAAGGTTGACCAAGAGGGTTTGTGGATTATGAGGCTGATAAGGAGCATCAGATTCATTTGCGACAACGACTCGCCGATCAGCATGTACACCTGGCTCATCGTTTTTTTTTTTCTTTCTTTCTTCAAAGGAGGGCGTCGCTGACATCCTGCAAGAGACATGCGGGGTATACATTATCAACGGGAGTTGGATGTTGGCCTCGTCCTCGCTTGGGTGGAGCCGACTTCGTGGTCGGATGTACGGGAGGTGCAGCCGAAGAGCAGCAGTGGGCGACGCCGACTAAGGCGAGCTGGTCGACGGGTCTGGTCAACCTGCACGGGGCCACTGCGAAGCCGCCGACTATGGGTACGCCGGCGTACGACGGGGTTCGTCGACCTGGGAAGGGGCGCCGACTTGGAGGGCGCCGACTTCGGGAGGTCGACCTGGCGAGGTTGACCTGGGAGGCGCCGACTTAGTGGCATCGACCTGGGAGGGCGCCGACTTCATGGCGACGACCAGGGGAAGCCAGCTGGGTGCAGTCGGTGACCAGCAGGCCTAGTCGACCAGAAGTGGTCGACCTGGGGGAGTAGCCGACTTCGTGAAGTCGGTAGGAGGTGGTCGTTGACCTGGGCGGTCGATGGTCACATGGTGCAGCACCTGGTCGGCGTGGTTGCCTGGTCGACCGGGATACCCGGTGACGAGTGCGTGACGATCGCTGAGGTGGTTCTAGCGATGTCGACCTCGAAGGTGGTATCCCGAGGTCGACGTGGTTGATCGGGTGCTGTCGTTGGCATGTGGTCGGCTTGGCGTCTGCGTTGTGCACGTGACGGGGCACAGCACGCCAACCAACTGCAAGCACCGGCGAAGGGGGTGCGCTGCTGTCATGCGGGTGCAACGATGCGCAGCCGCCCTGCTGCAGCGTTGGCACGCCGTCGACTTGCAACGTTGGCAAGCCGCCTCTTTGCAGCGCTGGAGCGGTGCGGACTTTGCTGCGCTGGAAGGCGGTCGACCATGCTGTGCTGGAGGTCGACCTGCTTGCTTGCTAGCATCTGATGTAGTCTTGCTTGCCAACATTGTTGCTATCATTTTTGTTCACAACTTTTGCTAGTGGAACTCTTGCCGATTTTCCCATGAATGTGTGCGTAGAGAGAACACGAGCAAACGCGAAGGAACGCTGCGATCACTCTCACAACCGTGCCTCCCCCCGTAGTCTAGCTCCCGTTGTAGAGTTCATCTCCACATACATCACTCAGTGAGTACTGATGTTTTTGTTACTCTCTCATTGCATAATTACATGTCGCATTCGCAACCGTGCTTAAAGCTTAACGCCCAAAATTGCGCAAGATTAGTCATCTTGCGCAAAGGCTTAGGGTTGGGTGGTTTCCACTAACGCAAAGTCAAGCAGGTCTTGGCAGGATGGGGTTGACTGATTTCGCCATACCTCTCGCAAAACTTGTTGCTTTTTTCTTAGTCAACAAATTTCTCAGCCAACTTTCTGTTTGAAACCGAGAGTCCCGAATTGCAGAATGCTGAAACATGAAGTTTGCGTAGTGAGTTTGGGCTCGGCCAATCATAAAGCTTCGTACCTAGTGTAACCCTAAATTCGCAGCAAACAGCCCCCAAAACGGAAGTTGCGCAAGCCCGCTCCGCAATTTAGGCATTGAACTTTAACCAATCATGTTTATATTTTTTTCGTTCATATGTGGCTTTAAAGGAATGGTTGATGACCACGTGGCACCAACAACAACAGGTACAACACATTCATGCCTCGTCGTGGATTGGTCTGAGCAGTGACGAGAGTACTGACCAGGCCCATAGCAAGCAACTCATTGTGTTTCCCCATGGCAAGCACTGCTAGATCAAAGACGGCACCACGTTTGGCAGGAGGGTGAGCAAGCTTCTTACGCCATTCATCGTGCGACATGCTCGCAGGGATCGCACATTGTTTGTGGACGGCGTGGATGAAGACGGTCAGCGTTCGTCCCATAGAATCACTCTTAGCGAAGAGCCGATCCATCGGCACAAGTACGGCGGGTCGTTTGGCGACTGCGTCAAATTGTGCACGGTGTTTGCACATGAAAGTGCCAGCAACTTGAACATGCAAATGTGGAGCCTGAAGCAGATGTGTGATAGCAAGTTTTTCAAAGTTGAGGCGTGGCAAAAAAAACTTGGAGACACGAGAGCGCCGAGTGGTCACTAGGCTGGACCACAATGCTGAACTATTCAACAACCTGCTGCCAAGTGTGTGTGTGTGTGTGTTTTTTTTTTTTTTTTTTTTTTTTTTTTCAGTTAATCCATATGCATGCTATACTCATTGCCAATGTCGATTCGTAATCTTTGTAGTGGATGCACTTAGTGAATGTTTGACCTACGTGGCAGGCTTCAACCACAGGGGAGTAAAGCTGGAGCTAAAACGTTTCTGCCACATCATGTCGCTTCATCACAAGGAGGAGGATTTCTACCAAGGCGTGGCCAATATGATCAAAACAAGATTGGCCCAGCAGCTACCTCTGGCTTCACTGAAGGACGAATTGCATAAAAGATACTCTAGGATTGACCTTGGTGAGCTGCGCAGCTATCTTGGCTTGCAGATCACCAGGGACAGAGGAGCGCACACCAGCACTCTCACTCAGTCACACATGATGCAGCAGGCCTTTCTGTGGTTCGAGCTTAAGATCTCCTCCATATAGCCCACTCCTCTTGCTGTTGACCATAGGCTCATTGCTCCTGTTCGCAACGAGCCGGCTAGGCCTAGTAGTTCGTACACAGAGCTTGTGGGATGTCATATGTGCGGAGGGTCACTCTACACTGGGAGCTGGACTACGGGGGGAAGCACGGGTGGTACAAGTGATCGTAGCATTTCCTCGTGTTCTCTCTACTTGCGCATTCACTTACGCATTCGCATTCACAAAAGTTACACTAGCAAAATTTGGATACAATGATGCAAAAGGCATTGGCAATAGTGACTACATCAGTGGCCTACAAACCTAGCACACATGCAGGTCCATCTCCAGCACAGCATGGGAGCGGCGTGCCAGCACTGCAGGTCGACGGCGTGCCAACGCAGCTCATAGGCAGCTTGCAAACGCTGCAAGTCAGTGACCAACCAGCAGCGCACCAGCGCGGCTTGCCACGTTACAGTAAGGCAGCTTGCCAGCCTCGCAACGACAGGTGCCCATGTGCGCATGTACGCGCAGGTGCTTGTAGACGGTTGAGCACGACGTGCACCGTCACGCACATTGCGCAGGTGCCAAGTCGGCCACATGCCGACGGTTGCGCCAG